TGGCAAGCAATTATTTTACGTTTTTTCTGCAAACAACAGCATTTATTGAAACTTTTGAGCAATACCGTAACTAGAAATTTTATAGGTTTAACCTAAAATACTAACGATTGAAATCCTTATACAGTTAAGTCTACTAAACATTTTAACTGTAAAATGTCGAACAATCACTAACCAGAATTCTGTTTGGTTTCACTAAAATATATTCTGTTATATTTCATGTTTTATTGATATAATCAAAACATTTTTTTCAGTGTGTAATATAAATTGCAGAAGCTACAATTATAAAATCCGCATTGCAAAACTAGATTGTAAAATCAAGAATATTTGAAATAAATATTAGTGTTTTCGAAAACTCAGTAATTAGCAATAAAGCAACACGGTATATCAGCGCCTTTACTTCGCTTATATTATTTTTCGTTTCTTAAGCGCGCGATCGTGACTTCGTGATCACGTTGGCCGATATGGGAATTAATCGGATCGTCGAAAAATCTATAACTGGTATCTAAGAAGTTCGCGGGCCGACATCGTGACGAGGAAGACTTTCTCCTCGGCGGGGGCGCGTGCAATGAAGTGACTTGCATACCTGGGAGGAACCGATAGAGTAATCGAATGACCCGGTGGTCTAGTTATAGTTGCATAACCGCGCTGTCTAACTTAGCGACGTCTTTAACGAGTATGGAAACTCTCTTGTTAAACAGACGTACACTGTTAAATTTATAATGTCAGATTATATTCAATTTGAATTATTTTTATATATTTCTATAGGTCACCATTGCTCTTATTCAATATGTCGTTAATTCAACTAAAACAATGGAGGTAACCGATTTAACAGGAGATGTATCTGGCTCTTTAGTTTATTATTTTAGTTTATTATTTATTAAGTAAATACGTTAATATGGACGTTGTTTATTTTGAAACTAATTAAGCAATTTAACCATAGAAATGGATTTATTTACATTTGACACATACATATAAATTGAAAATGTTATTTATTTAAGGGATTGAGTTACTATTGCTGCTTTGATATCTAACAGTGTAAAATACAATTAATCAAACAAAGTAACTTTTTGATTATAAAATTATTTCTTATGTGACTGCTAGAAGAATAATAAAGAAAAATAATAAATAAATATTCAGAAGACTTATAATCTGTTTATCATCCGTAACAAATGAAAAGCATTCAACTGCAAAGAAAATTCCCATGTCCTTTACAATGTTCCCACAATCTCGGAGTCTGCTACTCCGAGAGTCTGTTAATTTGTTTGTAGAAAATTAACTCGAAAATCTCGGTGGGACCTTTGAAACCATTCCGTCCGTGCAACGATTCGATCTCCAGGTCGCGTCAGTTGCAACGAAAGAAGAGGAACCCACGGGTGTAAGATCGGGATCAGATCAGATCCTTCGAGCGTGCAACCAGCTATTATATTCGCCGCCCACGAAGGCGGACCACAGATCCATGTAGAGATATTTCGCGCGAGGCGGTTTCGCACATTTAATTGATAGTGCTCGATGACTAAAGGACGGACTTTTCGAAAATACAATATACGATGTAATTGAAATAACGACATCTCCACACGAGCAATGATTGTTAGAGAACAATTATTATCTTGTTCTATTGTTTGTCATCGTGTTTTACATGAAGGGAAAAGATTAGATCCAGCGACAAAATTCAAAATTTGTAAATAATGTTTAAGTTTTAATTTCTTCGTGATTCTGGACTGACTGTTCCATAGCAAAATGCCTTACTCGCTTCCGTGAAGCAATTACCTCGTGTCGGGGACCACCCATGGCGGTTAATCACGACGGAATTTTTCATACAACTACAGGACGTCTGAAGCATCGCTCTTGTCAGCGTATCTAGAACTGTCAATCGCAGTAATTCGGGGCTGTGATCTACGTGATGGCAGAACGTGAGAGATCTACGGTGATCGAGCCGGCGATTAGATATTTCGAGGTGCATCCAATCGTTGCATCCGCTGATTGCGAGACTCGTATGCAGATTCTAGCGCGGATACTACGAGGTACAGGGCTTGTAGAGATGTAGGGGACTTCGATTGACCGGTATACACAAGGTAAGGGATATGAGGCAAGAATTAATAGGAATTTAACGAGATTCAAAACGACGAATGATTATTATAATGATGTTCTTGCAAACTAATAAATATTAATCACCCGCCGTAAGTTTCAATTGTATTTTTATATACTCTCTAAATCTCGTAGAGTGAAATCTCACTCAAAGAGACTGAAAATTTAGTCTGTCTTGAAAAAAGAGTGAAAATACGGCCACTCTTGTTTAAGAGTGGCAGATTTTCACTCTTTTTAGAATGAAATTACTCCAAAGGAGTGAAATCTCAATCTCTTTTTTGGAGTGTAATACCAGAGTAGATAGAACCTCACTCCAAAAAAGGGATTGAGATTTCACTCCTTCGGAGTGAATCTCTCATTCCAAAAGAGTAAATCTCACTTTAAAAAGAGTGAAAATCTGCTATTTTTGAACAAGAGTGGCCGTAATTTCACTCTTTTTTCAAGACAGACTAAATTTTCAGTCTCTTCGAGTGATTTTACTCCACGAGATTTAGAGAGTATATAAAACATACACACGGAAAAAACGGTTTTGCTGAAATTATCTAAAAATTTGTAGCTACAAAATACAGATCTGAAAATGTTTTTGTTGGACGTCATCGATATAATATTATGTAGAATGTTTCAACGTTGTTGACAACGCTGCAAAATGTTTTGGCATAGCAATCAGTTTGCGCGCCCTACATAATTATTTTAACCAAACAAAATTATTTTCAGATCTATATCTATTGTAGTTAAATTTTTAGATATTTCAATAAAATCATTCTTTTATGGAATGTTTAAGCTATGATCGTAGGCATCTTCAATTATTGTTTAAAAATCAATGATTAATGAGCAGTATAATGTGATGTAGATAAATGAAAATTAAAGAAACCGAATACATAAGAAATAGGTTGAAGAAAATATCATTTTTTCACGGTCTCCTAAAACACACTCCGGAGTAGAGTGATTTACGGGAGGAAAGATGTGCCACTCCGAGATTGAAGAAGCTTGTCTTGCGTGAAAAATATTTTCAATTTAACATATGAGAGACAAAAAGAAACACGAGAGCGTTTCCTCGCCGCGCAATTTCGTACTATTATCCACGGTATTCCTTGAAAGCTCAGCATCAGCAACAAACCAGTGATTTAATCATTCTGACCACAAGTATTTATGTTGTATGTATATGTGTGTTTGTGTGTGTTTGTATGTGTGAATGGAAAATACCTTAGGAATAAATTAATTTCAAGGATCGCCTCCTCCTGAGCGGCTCGTAATCGAGCGATTATCGTTCGGTTAGTACGTTTCGTCGTATTTTACGTCTTTATTAATGCATATGTGCGTAAAAGGATTCGCGTGAAGGACCATCGGCATAGACAATTTTGTCTGACGTAAGTATTAGTTCTTTAATCCACATAGACGTTTCTTTTTTTTCGACACCGGATGCCGCGCATTGTCCACGAATAGCGAACGTATCCAGTACGTAACGGACGTCGGACACAGGCTAATGCGATGTCGTAATTCTCGTTTTTATACCCGCAGCACGTCCCTCCGCAAGACGCGAGCATTTATCTTATTTAAATCGCACGCTTTTGTGTATCCGCGAGGATACGTGCCACGCGAGGATCGTGTCGCTCGTTTTGGATTAGCGCGCGCGTTCCGTTCCCGCCGGGAGAGATTGCTCGCCCAGCGCTATTTCTCAGCTGGAATTGCGAAAATCCACCTTCGGGGATATTCCCGGACAAAGAATTGTAACTCACGTGGCGATTCTATGAGAATACGACGCGTAAATTTTGACAAACTTTCGTGGAGTTTTTCTTCGTAAAATTCAATCAATTGCTCTAAACAAGTATAAGAAATATAAAGTAAAACTGCATCAATATGGCCTGCACTGAAAAAAGTCGAAATATTCGCAAGCAAATAGCTACCTTTAGCAGAAAAAGTAGCTTTGCAACTATTGTAAAATTCTTTAAGATGAAAAATTTATACATTTAAATTCACTAAGAAAAGGCAAGATCAATTATGTTAAAGAATCTTATAATAGTTACAAAGCTGCTCTATCTGATGAACGCACCTAATGTTATGTGTGACGTTTTCTTCGATATTCAATGCTTATAAAAAAATTTTACTGCGATGACGAAATATATGTTTTTGTAAAATATATTTCATTAATTGTAAAAATTAGAATAAATGGTTTATTTGTTATAAGAATAAAATTTTATTTTACCATATTTAAAGATTTATTTTAGTAAAATAAATATCATATCCCACAAATGAATTTTTAAGTATCTTTTTCTCATCGACAGTGTATTTGTTGTTTGTAGTTTATATGGATAATTAAATCTTACAGCCATGTAAATATTCAAAATGTCTCATATTTTTAATTAGTGTTCAGAAATAAACATTTTCTATTTTGAATCTAACTACAGTTTTCAATATTAGACTCAATAAAAATCACATATCAGATAAATATATATTAAAAAAACGGTATTATGATTAAATCAATTATAAATTAAAAGGAGCTGTTAATGTGAAACAATTTTAATATAAGAACTAATGCAGGCGTATGTGCTCTTTTTGATTTATAATTAATATTGGGTTAGTTTATATCAGAAATATAAGAAATATATAATATAATTATATACATTAAAAGATTACGTGATACGAAATTTCGCGGACCAAAGTCTATGTATATATTCGACAACATTACTAATTTTGCCAATATCTCTCGCTATTTTGTCACATTTGGCGATCACATTATTGCGTCACCTATTCGGCTTGCCATTAAATATCACTTCGTGTTTATTCATATAATTGCGAATTAGCCAATCGGGCTCAATCGCGATCATCGACGTATTCAAATTACAAGCGATCTGATACGTTTTAATGAGCGGAATAGTGATGAGATAAATTTTAATAGAGGGAAAAAAATACGCGAGTCAACGTTCAAACGCGTTTATTTTGACAGTTAACAGAAATAACGTTTAATATAAACGTTGCGGTTGTGGTTTTGTATACACAGTATGTGCGCTACGCGACTCCTTAATTGATACAGCAGGTGCTAATTAACTGCACTAATTCAATCCTGGGACAACACTGTCGCCAAAGGAAATTTGCTAAATTATTTGAATATGTTAGAATTATAAATGCAGCTAAAGATTTAAAGTCCAAAAATCGTGATAGACATTACACGTAATTTTGATACGTTTAATTTTCAATGAAATCTTTAACTCATTGTAATTATATATATAATGATACTGAATTAATATTTGTTAATATATCTACTATTTTGAGCACGACAAATGAGACTATAGTATTGTAAAATAGATAAGAGAAAAATATCATCTTAATTTGGCAATTTGTCTCTCTCTTGACTCGAATTCTTCGTCTAAATAAGTGTATTATACTTCACGTCTCGCGTATTCTTATATCAACAGTAGGAGATACACATAATTTTGCACGTAATACTAAAGATTATAAGATCGAAGTATCACTGATAAAATTTCAGTCTAAATAGTCTGTACGTTACTATAATGCTTCTACAGGTTGTCTTCCTCGGGATGCTGGGCATTGTACTCCAAAGCTCTCAAGATAGCAGAGGGGATCGGAGGTGCAATTGGCAGATGCTCGCCCTGAGGATGGAAACCACTTTCATCGGCACTGTAGCTCAAGCTGATAGGATTGCCATTGTCATCAGTATAGCTGAAAGATCCCTGAACACGAAGAGCGTCCTCATCTTTGGCGATATTGAAAAGCTGACCCTGCTCCTGTGCTTGGATGCCATTTCCGGTCTGGTAGCCGTAGCTGTATGAACCGTCAGGATTTGGTCCGTCCTGCTGCGAAGCTACGATGGGGATGAAAGTATCATGCAAAGAATTCGGGGGTGCAGCAAATGCAGCCACTACGAGCACGCAGAGAAGTGTGGCGGTCTGAAAAAAAATTGTTTCTTTTTTTCTGATCGATTCAAAACTAGAAGAAGTATCTCGGAGAAAAAATATAGAATTTTGAATAAAATGGATTACACAATATTCTTTAATTAAAATATGACTGATTTCAAATTTGATTATACGCTCGCGTTATTATAACCGACATCAACATTTGTAATTCTTGACAGTAGCTAATTTAAAACAGATTTGTCTGTGTGAACAACATTTGGTATTTTTCAAAAATTGTATGATAAAAACAAAAAATGAAGATTAGCGTGAATTAATTCTTTATTAATTTTGTTAAGCCTTACCAGAGCCTTCATGATGCTGATCACGACTGTGTATCCCGTTATAAGATCAAAATTGAGGAGACGCCTTTTATATAGTATTGCCCAGAAACCTGCTAGATACGAACATCTCCCTCTTATTGATGAAGTTCTGACTGGTATGTTGACAAATATGCATGTTACATCATTTTTCGATGAAACTGATAGCGGGGCGTGAGGCAAGATGACCACAAAAATAGAAATATAGTGCCTCTCAAATGATATTCGTGTTTGTCAAGTGTCCATCGAATTTTACACGAAAGTTGAATATAATTTAGAAATCACATGGAAGATCATATTCGATCATTCTTTCGCCTCCAATTTTCAAACTGTTTTTCTATCTAAACTTCCGTAATGATTGAGAAAATTTGTTCAAACAGAAAAATACTGTATTTAAATATTAATTTATACATATAAATATTAAATACTTTAAAAATTTTATAAGTTTATATATCCATTCATAAATCTATTATAAAAGTTCATCACAAGTATCAAATTTATTCAAAATATTTTCTATAAATCCTACTAACAATATATAAGTTTAATATATACTTCAATTAAGATTATTAAATTAAAACGAATTTAATTTGCTTACATAAAGTAGCTTATATAAAGTAGTTTCTTCGATAGAATTGTATAATGTTCTAGAAAAGATGAATTCTTGTTTTAAGTATTGGATAATGAATTTTTCTAAAATTTGTAATAAATCTATTTTTAAATTTATTTTAAAATTATTATCAAGAAAATTATCTTAATTAAAAATAATTATTAAAAGAAAAAAAGTAAACTAAAATAATTACTATTTATAGCAGTAAAATGATTTTTTGTATGCAGTAACAGTTAATTCATAAACGCTCGCATAAGAAATATTTAAAAAATATTATAGATTTCTTTTAATTTCCAATGCTTGAAAATTGTTATTTTATGCCTAAAACATGTTTCAGTTTATAATTACTAATAAATAAAAATAAAAATTTTGTTTGCAAAAAAATTTTATTACATAAAATAAATAAATTTATACATAAAATGAATAAATTAAGATATAGATAAAATTGAACTCTAGTACTTGAGTATGCGAACACTTATGGATTAATAATGAATATAGCTAATAAAAATTCTTAATATGCACTTTGAGTTTGCGAAAGCAAATTCGTATATCTTTAGCAAGTCTGCCTTCGGGGATCACAAAGTAAACATGTATGGCATGCGCTTACCTGAGGCTGTCAAAACCCGAGACCAGTTTAGCTAAAATAGCTACGTGTTTGTAGATAAGCTAAATAGCCTATTTTCGAAAATTAATTAGAAATTATTTTAAAACGGCTAGATAAATTGCTTTATTGCCAGTACAGAAAATTTACAACAAAATTCAAGATCCGACACTTGTGCGCGTTTGAAGGGTAACTTCATCACGTTGTAAAATATTAAAAGACGACAAGGTAAATCTTGTGAGCCAAACACGCCGGCAACAAAGGATTATCCTTCGTGTGGGCGCCGGGAGAAAGATAAAATTTTCCTTCGCTAAGTCGACTATAAATTTTTCTTTCGACGGAAAAGTGCGGGACCACTTAATACGACGTGAGTTTTCGCCACATTCCATTGACTCGGTGATGTCGTTGTGTGAATTTTCGTTGCTTCGTGCACCGTTATAAATTCAACCAACGTGTAACAAATCCGTGGATCCTTGACGGGCGCAACGTAAGCCGAATACCCAAGTTCGGTTATCATTTATCATGATCGTGCGACAGGATGATTGCACTACTGTTCCTTGGCTATTTTCTCGAAAATAAAGATTATGCAAACGACAATATTTTAATTGAAATAATTAGAAAATAAGATGTTAAAAATATCTTATCACTTCACAAAACAGATATTTATTATCTTGCTTTGTTTCATTAATGATGAATATAACGAAAAAAAAGATGTTCTAATTTAAATAAAAATTTTGATTGTACTCATGCATTTTGTCTGCCAAAATAAAATATTTCTGTTTTGCGAGAAACGCTATGTAATTAAATAGTTCAAATATTTTATCATAAAATAATTTTATAATAAATACCAATATAGTTTGTAGAATGTAAAGTAAATGTATCAAATATAATTTATATATACATAAAAGGAGTCACTTATAATTGCAGGGAAAGGAATGCGCGCGATTCGTTTCAGTATAGTCTCTTTTCGGATACTGCGAATCTTTAATATTGTATCTAATGTAGCGTGATGTTGATTTCTGAGGAGGAAAAAGAGGTCATAAGTCGAAGGACTCGTGTCAGGACGAACATATCCTTTCAGATAGTAATCATCCCTTCTCTTGAAATAAAGTAGACTTTTTATACACGTAAAAACAAAAGTCTTTGATAGAACTGAGTCTCACACACAAGCGTAAGCGAAACAATCGGGAGACACGAATTCTATTAAATAGAAGTCAATGCCTGATCTCTCCGATGATGTATTCTGGGATGCAATCATGTTGCTTGCTATGGGATTGCACCCATTGTTGCTCATAAAAAAACGTTTGCAAAAAACATAAGCTACAATCAGAATATATATGCATATATGCTAAACAGCATATATATATTTCTTATATTTCTTATCGAATGTTCGAGAAACTTGTACCTTAAAATTAAATAGACATCATAATTTTTTGAAACGTTCCAACATTAAATTGTCTCGCTAATGTTTTGATCGCCAAATTTTTGCCGGAATGGAATCTATTTAAAATTAACAGAAAAAGTAAGTATTTTTATATCCTTGAAGCTAGATTTATGAGAATTTCAAGGTTTTAATTGCTTATGATTCAGAGATTCTTGGCAAGAATATACATTAATTGAGCATCTTTTCAGAAGAATCTATGAATTGATTAAAGAGTCGAAAATCTTAGTTGAAAATTTTTCTATATGCTGCTGCAGTTTGAAAACACAAGAATTTTATGATCAAATTTACGACGTTTTTTCAAAATTGTTATAACTTTGCTATATTGTTTCACCAATGTTGTAATTGGAAATATTAGTGCATTTAATGTCGTATTAAAATCATCTTTGAAGGGAATGCAAAAACAGATCTGTCCTGTTTCTATATGTTAATGTCAAATACTTTTATAGCTCGAACTAATCCTTAGAAGGAATTTGCGTGTTAATTTCGTTCCGTTCTCGTCATCATTTTAATTTCGCGCACAAAATCTGCAACGAAAACATCAGTTTGAGTCCTCTATCTACTTCTTGCAGGATTTCTTACCGATTTCTGCCGATAAAGCAGAATTGTGATTCAAATGATCTTCTCATAACTTAAATGAAAAACATGTTATAATAAATAAAAACGAATAAAATTGAATACGTCATATTATTGAAAGGATCTACAAGTCTTCCCTTTCTCTTTAGAAATTGAGTATTAACGATACAGCAATCGTAATTGTGTTCGTCATTTCTGAGGCCGACTGGATGTTAATGATCATAAGAACTCAAAGAGTGAGTGAAAGGTACCATAGATCGCGCCACGAATAAAAACACCACGATTCGCATATAATAAGTCTGCATATTTTGCACATAAATTCGTAGAAAAATAAAAATTGCAATTTGTCTAAAATACGTATTATAAAATATTTATATTTTGACGAAGATGTGATTAAACAATAAATACACCAAAACGTTTCCTATATAGTAGATCCTATTGATTTTTCTTCTCTTTAGGATCTCAGAAACTATTGGAACAGAATTAAGTACCTAATTCTATACGTTGAGTTAGGAAAATCGAATTTACCTCTGTTCCAATTTAAAGGCAGATTTCTTCTTTTGCCTCTCTCTCTCTCTCTCTCTCTCTGTCTTTTTATTTTTCGTTTCTGATTGTAACATCTATTATTATCTTTTATTTTATTTTTATTTATTTTCATTGTTATCTTTTTTTATTTATATTATTTTTCTTATTTTACGATATTTTTTTCCTTGGACGGTCTCGTTTAATTACTGCGCGCGCGCGCGCGTGTGTGTGTGAAAGGGACAGAAATAGAGCTTGTTATAGAACAGTAATAAATGCTTTATTTATTCATCTCTCTCTCTCTCTCTCTCCATCAAATTGCCAAGATTTTCTCATTTCGCATTCAGCAATAAGTACGTCATGCGGTTTAAGGGTATCACAGGTGTCGAAATATTTAGATAATAATGAACCTTCAAAGTTATACCGAAATATTTCGATAAAGAAAGATCTCACGTCGCGACAAACTGACTCCCCACAAAACGCGGCTTTATGTCCTGCGTATCAGTAATTTCGCGAGGTATCATTTTTCATCGTGATCCTCTCGCCGCATGAGTGCACAGGATGAACACGCACGCCGAACATGTCTATCTGCCGTGAAGTATCAGGTGATAAATTGTTATCGAGCCCGCCGTTCGCGGCTCTTTAATCATCCGACTGCGTAACAGTCCGTTGAAGCAACTCAAGTGAGTTTGGCTCATCTGCCGCGCCGTGAAAGTAAAAATGCTGTGCTGTAGTATTTGGGTTAGCGGAATGACCTCTCCGCGATCCGCGGTATAAAATAATGGTGTTTTATTCCATTATGAGGAATAAGCGAAACGAGACCTCCGAGCGTCGGCCAATCACGATTAATTTGTCTCTTTTTTTGTAATACTCGAAGTAACGATGATACTGATAATTATTAACATCCCTGTGTCCAGTGTAAAATATGTTATATTAAAAAATAAAACATATTATAACTGTTATTGTTATCTCATGCGTACAGAGTATTAATACAGTAATAATTTATAATGGATATTGTAATATATTAATAATACACACATGATAATTATATTAATTTTTGTAAGTTCGTAAATGTCATTATTGCAACCAATTGTTCTAGGAGATGACTCGATCGTTAATTTGAATCTGCTTTCCTCAGAGGTAAAAGTGTTAATTACTTTAATTGTTATTATTTGAAAATAATTTAATTTTGTGTAAAATTTATAAGTGGTATGAAGCTTATTCTGGCTTATAAAGCTTATCATGGCTTTTATAAAGGAAATGTATTCATATGTAATTACTATTAAATTTTGAGTTGCGTATTCTTACCCTACTTCATATGTATTCTC